GTGGAATGAGATTCACTTTTGGACTATTAAAATATGTTTAAATTAAAATATGATTATGAAAATCTACTCCTTTGTAGAAATTTATATATTCTCATTGCTTTCTCATTGTAAATGAAATTATTGCTAATACATAAAGAATACAGGTGAAGTTTATTTATTTATTTCAAATGGCAGGCTTTGTGATATTTATCATTAGCCCTTAAACTTTGACTTCAGCTTCCCCCAAGGGGGGGGGTACATGTATAGCAGTTAATAGCAGTTCATTAGCCGTCTTCTTGCTTCCCAGTATCTCTGGCTTTCCGTCGTTGTCTTCAGAGCTGGACATCGAATCATGTGGGTCTTCTCCATTTCCTCAGAATACAGGTGAAGTAATATTATTTGTGCCACTCAGACCTCTATGACAAATTCCTCCTAGAATGAAATTCCTCCCGAAAATAGTTAAGCTAACTCATTTCTTCTAATTGCCTGTCATTGTTGCGTAGCTCAGTCATTAAAATTCAATTTTGACAACGCTGTCCATGCAGCGACTATTGATTATTGGTCCACTGAGAGGTCTTTGCACTCACGACACCATATGCTGTCTAATGCGATGAGCAACAGTGCCGCACTTGATGGCTATGGGATCAGGAGTACTCCATCCCTTCCATAATGTTCGAGTGCACGTGCCACTACACGGTTCAGCCATGTTAGCGTTATACTCATCACAATAGTTCGAGTTTATGGTAATAAGTTTTCTCCATAACAATTTCAGCATATATGGGGCAACGTATACTCATACGGCAAAAATGTCTATTAACCGGCATTTGACTTCTGACTTCAAACTAACACGACCCCCTTGGTTGTCATATTCGACCCCTTTCACAGTACTCACCTTACCTTTTTCTCTACCTTTGTGTCTGTCTGCCTCTTTTACATCTGTGAATCGTTCTTCTGTTCCCCACCCCTCTCGACTATTTGTCACTTTGATGTCCTTCCTCCTCCTCTCTGTGTAGCCCGAGGTCAGTTAAAGGGCTAATGATAACTATCAAAATGCCTGCCATTTCATATAAATTTATGAAGTCACATTTCAACAACACAATAAATAAAAGCACAACATTGACTTAACTCCAGTTCATTTTCAAACCCATTGACATCATCACAATCATCAGCGTCAAAAGTTCATTTTTTAATAAACGATTCCTAATCTTTAACACAGAGTACACATTTGGGGCCTCTCAATTGAGTCGACAACGAATTGCGAAATAAATGCACGTCAAATTCCTCCTGAATCTTTGAATTTTTGTTGAAGTTATTTTACTTTTGAACGTTGTTATTTCAATGCCGCCATTATCTCAGCTGCATACAGTTTCAACTTAACTAAAACCATGAAATTTAAATTGTCGAGAATTTTCCCATTTTATCCAGTTCCCTTTAGTTACTTCAGGTTATTTTCACTTCAATACTGTGCATTCTGTACTAGACAATTCTGAAATGGTTAAGGATGACAACTCCTTTTTATTACGAGTGTTTCGATAGAAGACGTGAATGCTATCAACGAACTGTGAAGCATTTTCTATTGGCCTATGTCAAGAGTTGAGATTAAATTTTCGATATCAAATCGAAAGAAAAATTGCAAGGCCCACAGTCAATCAATTGAATAAAGGCCATTGCCTCGCTTTCTGTCTTCTTATACAAATTTGGTCTGACAGAACTGTGATATTTACTAGACAGGCCGAAGCTCAAACAAACGAAGTGGCTAAAAGAGTCAAATATAAGGGTAAACGAAAGTGATTTATTGATTTACTGTTTAAATGCTTATCCATCTGAGTTCGTGCGAATTTTGTGGTAAAGCAGCAATGCCCCAGCCCCTCTGTTAAATATTTAAAAGTTTCCATCAGCTTAATGCTGATAAAGAGGTGATTTATCAATTGCAGTTCGTCAGTAAGCTCTAATCAAATCAGAAGCTCTAAGGTTTATGTAGGAGTCAAAATTGGTAAGTTCTTCTTCTAAACGTTCATGAGCGCTCTTGGAAATGCTTCGGGTAAATTTTATTTAAATGTTATATATCGAATAACATTTATTCGTTAAATGACACCTAAGCCATATATTTGACTACTCTACATTTCTCAATATACTAAAAGCTAATACCACAATAGATAGATAGATAGATAGATATGGCTCATGGAAAACTTTTGGCAATTCTTTTACATACTGTAGTGTAATAAAATCAACTAAGGAGATAAATCTAATCTCAAGAACTTCGAAAAAGTAGCAATCGTAGATCGTGGAAAAGATCTTGGCAATATGTTTTCCGAAATTCAAGGCAAGTTACTCATGGGAATTTCCCTACATACGATGTATTGAATCTTTTTCCACCTAATTTGAAGGGAGAAATCCTGAATTTCTGAATTAAACCGATTTAACGACTATTTAAAATGACGAGACGGATACAGACTGTGCTTATTATTACATCCTTTATCTACTCAGAATAGCTTGCTTTACGTTTTTAATAAGCTTATATGTGGTGAGGTCAAGTTGTTTGAATAAGTCAAGTCATTTATGTCACTAAATTAGAATTTACGTATAGATTATTTGAAGTTATTGTTCATGCTGACTTCCGTTGTGTTTTGTCCTCTAGGCTTTGTTGTAGTCTGAGTAGGTATCTATGTGTAAGCACATAACCACTTACAGATACCGCTAACGATATAATTTCGATATTTTTGTTCGCCACGTGGTGAGTTACATTTGTTTAAAAGCAAATAAGTTGCTCGAGGATATAATGTTAATAATATTTGGCTTTCTATTAGAAAGATTGAATGCATTTTTTATTCTAGATTTAAACACAAAGAAAAATCATTGCAGATCAGGTCTGAAATTGCATACACTAAAGCAATATTGTGTGCCAATAAAAGAAAATCTCTAGCAATTTTTTTACATTAGGCAGTATATTTTTCAATGTTAATTGAAGCGATTCATGCGTTTGAAATTATATGAGAGACTACATGACTAATATTTGTACTGCTTTAAATAATTAGGGCATTTTCAAATAATTTGATTAAAAAAATACTTTAAAAACAAAAAAAGGTTGAAATACTCGGTAATACATTTCTTTTACTATTATTTCTACAGCGATTATCTTGTTTTAATTTCTCGTTATTGAATTAAATCCATATAGGTTATACTTTTAACGTTTGGGTTTTCTTGTGGTTTGAGTGCTCTTCTGTTCGGTACGTTAATAACTTGCCATTTTACTTTTGTATATAGAAAATTTTCATATGCAGTTACTAATAATCGTTCACAAGTAATTCACAACTACACTTCTCTTTATGCTTATTTTTCGTAGATCAATATGGTATTGCGTAGAAACTTTTCCTTTCGTTACTCAATGTGGTTTTAAGCTTTTGGTTTTTTTTACTTCACCGCTGTGTTGACTAGTTATTTCGTATTGAAGTCACTAAGTTACCAAGTCATTATTGTTTTCCTTTAGATTATAGACATGTTGAAGAAAAGCAAAAAGACTGTGAAAGTCAAAGTGACCACTGCTGAGTCTCAACTAGAATTTGAGATGCAAAAAAATGCTCTAGGCAAAGACCTCTTTAATCAAGTCGTCAGTACAATTGGTCTTCGCGAAGTGTGGTATTTCGGTATTCAATATATTGATAAAGACGGCAATCCTGCCTTCCTACGTTTGGATAAGAAAATCTCTAGCAATGAATTTGCTGATGGTCATGCCTACGATTTCCGGTTCATGGTAAAGTACTATCCCGAGAATGTGGAGGATGAACTCATTCAAATGTGCACCATTACCCATTTTTACCTCCAGGTTTGTTCTTTCTTTATAACTTTTATCTTCGAATTTAACTTCTTTCTCTTAATTTAGGTCAAAGGCGATATCATGTCTGGAAAAATTTACTGTCCCATTGAAACCGCCGTTTTGTTGGCTTCTTATGCTTGTGTTGTTAAATATGGTCCTTATGATTCTAGGACGTGTCCTAAGTGTCTTCCGATTGACCGTCTTATTCATTCCCGGTATGTCTCCCCCTCTCTGAAATCTGATTTCATTTTATTTGCTGACGGTATTGAACTCTGTTTGCTATAGAGGGCAGTTTACCAAAACCGACGAGGAATGGTATGATACAATCATTCAATGCTACAAGGAACACCCCTACATGACTAATGAGGAAGCTATGGTTCAGTATCTCCAAATTGCTCAAGATTTGGAAATGTATGGTGTGGAAACATTCCCAATTAAAAACAAGAAGGAAACTCCCCTTGTGCTGGGTGTTGATTCACTTGGTTTAAGTATTTATGAACCTGACAACTTATTGGTTCCGAAAATTGGTTTCCCATGGTCTGAGATCCGCAACCTTTCTTTCCACAACAAGAAATTTATTATCAAGCCTTCTGACAAATCTGCCAACGAATTCTTTTTCTTGGTCGATAAAACCAAGACCAACAAACGCATTCTGGAATTGTGTACAGGCAACCATGAGCTCTATATGCGGAGAAGGAAGACGGATTCCATCGAAGTTCAACAGATGAAGATTCAGGCTAAGGAAGAAAGGGAATTGAGAGAAGCTGAAAAGTAAGGTTCTCCATTTCTATTATCAGATATTTTATCCCTGAAACCTTTTTATTCCTATTTTCTATATAATCTTTTACTAGACAACGCTTGAATGAGGAACGTCTGTTACGTCAAGAGCACGAGATGAGGTTGGCTGAGCTCAAAGCCGAGTCGCTCAAGAAGGCGTCCGATTATGAGGAAATGACCGCGAAGATGGCGTCCTACCAGAATAAGGTGAATGAGTTGCAGCAAATGCTCGAGCAAGAAAGAAAGGCCCGCCAAGAACTCCAAAACAACCAAGAAATGTTGGCCAAGATGAATAAACAGCTAGCGGAGGTCCGTATTCGATGATTCCATGTGCTATATATTTGAATTTCTTTGACTTCTTTATAAAAGTGATTAATCTTTGTGTGTGTGTGTGGATTAGCGCCATATTTTGCAGATTTCTCAATAAAGAAGGCTTTAAGTATTCCCAGGCCTTTTTGCGTAAGTCACATGAATCAGCCTAATAGTAGTGGGAATATTTTTATGCCACCTAAAATAGTGGAACCCCCAAGAACCTTGATAAATTATTAGTCAGATACGTTGTGTGTTATTTTAGGAGACCGCAGCCACACAAGAGGAGCGTGATCGATTGCAGAAGGAGAGAGATGCCGTTCAACGTGAGATTGAGCAACAGAAGAAGATGATGGCTGCTAAGGAGACAGAAATGGCGATGGCCGAGGAATTCATAAGGCGTGAAGAAAGCAGCGCCACAGCGTCACAAGTCAATGGCAGTGGTGACAGTGAGCTCTATTTCTCACATTGCTTTCACAATGCTATTCTCTCAGCTTATTAACTTGTTTTTTTTTGTTTGATTTGTTTTTTAGATATCACCCAGGACGACGAATGCGATGGTTAGTTATTTCGCCTTGTCTGCATTTGATTTTTTTCGGGGGGGGGTATATTTTACGTTCTCTTGGTGTGTGTATAGTTGTTCTTCTTTCGACTCATTTCGTATGTGTGCTTGGGCTGCACCGATTTATCTAATTCGGTAATCACTATACGATGACGTTCTTACATTCTCCACCTTCTCATTACTCCTGGCAACTTATTTTGCGCCTGTGTGGCCACAAAAGCTACGAATTGAGACTTTCTTCTAGGGTATAATAATGTCATTATCAGAAATTACTCTTGCGCCATAGCTGCTAAAATTGCAGCAATATGTTAGTGACGTCAGTTTTCCAACCACGATAATTACAGATCAGATTCCATCTTGTTTCCCTCTCTCCCCCTAGTTTTTGAATTGTCATTAGAATGCCTTTTTTATTTTCCAGCAAAGGAGTTGGAGGTCGACATGAATGCGAGCAGAATTGAAGAGACTCGTGTTACCGAAGTTTCCAAGCACCAGAATCTTCAGAAGAAACTTGAAAACCTTAAGTTGGAGCTAAATCAGGCTCGTGATGAATCCAAGATGAATGAAATTGATCATCGACATGAGTACAATGTTCGTCAAGGGAACGACAAGTACAAGACTTTGCGTAATATCCGCAAGGGCAACACAATGTCGCGTGTTGAACAGTTTGAATCGATGTAGACGTATCCCCCATCCAAATCATGTTTCCTCCTCGTTTATACCTCCCCCTCCCTCCCTTATATTCGAATTTGCCTCTACCTATTTGCTCATTCCTATTTGAAAACTCTTAAACATCATATATGCAAAATAATAAAATATAATATTATAACTTGCCATCGTGGGCTTTTCCTCTTCCGTGTGGTGACCTCGGAGTTGGGATAAAGCGGACAGTCGTTATGGTCTATGCTCTATCACGCAGTGTTAATGAGTCTTGTCGTGTTAAGGAAGGACCTTGAGTGGTAAATTTGCTTTGAGAGAAAAGTGTCGAGGTCACGGCTTTTAAGTGGTATGAGGTAAGTCACTTTGACAATTGATATGAGCTTACTTTGAATGCGCGTGTGTGTGTGCTTTGGTGGTTGCTTAGAGTTGCTATTAGTAAAGAGACTTTCAGTTTCTGTTAATGAAGCTGTAGCCACTATTGGAAATGAGTCCCTTTACAACCCATCTATGACGAATTTGAAGTATAAGGTATGTGACTAAGCGAGTAGAGTGTGAGGTCAATATTTTGCTGAGCACATCTGTATGGGAGGAGTAGTTAAGGCAGGGGGTTTTAACTACGTTGCGACTTTGAGGGAATTGGAGAGGTGTCAATCTAATCTATCGGGCCCGTTAAATTGCCTTAGTGTCGGTCTCAAGACTTCCCCTATTCGATGCTAATCTCTTTATCTGAACTCAAAATCCTCCCCCTGTTCGCCCAAAGACGGTTTTGCTAGAAATTCGATAAAACCCTTTTGAGAAACTGCCAATATCGTGAAGAGGTGGGGGGAGAGGGACTTACGAGGATGAACAGTGGGAGATTGACGATGTCTCATTATGAATTTTGCAATGCAGCGTAAGCTAGTTCAGACAGACCTTTGCCGGCAGCTCCCCCCCCCCCTATCCCTCAATCACAACTACGTCAATCTGTGGTCAAGACAACTGGAGATAATTTCTGTGGTGGGTCATTGCGTTCTGATTACAAACTCATGACGCATTTCCGTGCATGCTATTCCGTAAAATCCAGGTCATTTTGGCTCGTGTATATATTGACCACCTTGGCCCTGAGAAAATTTTCCATACTGTCCTGTGACCTTGTGCCAAAAAGGTCGTAGGAGAGAGAGGCTTCAAAAAACAAAAGCACTGTGGGTATTATTCAAAAAGAAACACAAACTTGGTTACTAATAAGATGACTCAGTTATCAGCTAACATTTATGCCAATAACTGAAATGTGTGGTTTATTAGACGCACGTGGTATAATGCATGCCTAATTGTATTGCTTAACCGACTGAAATCTACCACGCTCTCATCATCGTGTCACCTTTTTTCAAACAGGAGAAAACTCTGGAGTATCCTTTTCTTACTCCAAAGATACGTCCCATCGCCTTCCCGAGAGACTTATGTCTAGTGATTGAAATGACAAACTCTAGAGAGAGAGATGGCAAGATGAGAACTTATCATTGTAGAGGTTCCGGTGGGGGAAAACACACACAAGGTTTCACAATATTTATTTATTTATTTTAAATGGCAGGCATTTTGATGGTTATCATTGGCCCTTTAGCTGACTTCAGGCTTCACAGAGAGGGGGAGGAACATCAAAGTGACAAAAAGTCGAGAGGGGGACAGAAGAGTGGTTCAAAGATGTAAAAGAGACAGGGAAAAAGGTAAGGTGAGTACCGTAGAAGGGGTCGAAGATGACATACAGTAGGGTGATGGTAGTTTGAAGTCAGAAGTTAACTGCCGGTTTATTGACTTTTTCGCCGTATGAGTATACGTTGCACAGGGTGCACCACATGGAGGTAAGTCTATCGCACACCCCATTTTTCACAATATTATGATCAAAATTCACGTCTTCTATGATAGATGGACACACAACGGGACACACCCTGTAGTATATGCGGTCAAATGTGCTGGCTAATTCTGACTAATACGAGGTGCGGTAGGACTCGAATCTCTATCACTTAAGGTAATTCTTTAATGCTGTTTCAAAAGAGTTTTGTAATGCTCATAACCATTAAAAGTATCAATTAAAGAGGCGAGAATCCTGGTTTTTTTCTTGCTAAATTTTCATTTATGCACGTGAGAAAGTTAATAATTCAGTAAACAAAATAACTGTGAGAAATTAAAACTTCAGAAAGCCTTGCCAATGACCTGATTTTGCTAAATGGGTAAGATAGTCTCATGTTGATGAAATTTTGTTGAAATATTGGGGTCAACCATGACAAATGTGAATTTATTAAAGTTGACTTATAACACACACATACACACACAAGGCACTGCAATATTTTAGCAATTTTCACCAAGAAAAATGCTACTTAATTCAATTATAACAGAAGGGGGGTTGAAGTAAAGCAATAAATGATGGTCGAAGAAATGTTGTGAATAAAGAGGGACTTCCAACGAGGTAGTACTTCATTTAATTTTTGTTTTTATTCATTTTTTATCGGCCCTGACCATAAAGAGACATTTGTTATGGTCTAGTTTTGTACGAGGGTTGAAGCAAAGACAGCACAAGTGGTCTCTTACCAAATCTTGACGATTTTCCTTGAAGTTCAACTACCTGCAGACAGGCCTCTTGCAGAGTCCACATGTTACTTGAAATCATTTAACTCTGAGTACCGTTAACGCTACGCTGCACGAATATTGTCCACTGATTGGTTGGAAGATTACTGCACTCAAGGAAGCACGCACAGGTGAACACTTTCCAGTATGTCCTACTCCTGCGCAATTCATTTGATCAGCCTGAGACTGATGAATAGAACCCCATGAGTTTGTGTTCCAATTGGCATAAAAGGGCGATATTAACCTTATCAAATTACCTCGATTATTATCAAACTTGAATTATGCAAGAAGTTGACCAAAGATTGTTTCGATTTCTTCCCTATTTGCCTCCTGATAGGAAATAGATAAAATGCCAAATGAAAAGTCGGAGGGACCTAAATTAGCTAAAGTCTTGAAAAAGGCGGATTCATTGTTTACATAATGCAAACGTAAATGCAATCCAACGCTGAATAACTTTATTTTACAAGGTCTTGATTTATCGATTTTCTAAAAGGAAGAATTGTTACACGACATCCCAAGACCATCATAGTAAGTGGGTAAATGCGAAACTCATGATTTATCTATTTCAAATGGCAGACGTTTTGATAGGTATCATTAGCCCTTTAGCTGATTTCGGGCTTCACTGGGGGGAAGAACAACATAGTGAGAAAAATTCAAGATGTAAAGAGACAGGTGGACACAAATGCCGAGAAAAGGTAAGATGAGTACTGTTGAAGTGGCCGAATTTGACATAGAGTGCCGGTTTGTAGACTTTGTCATATCACGTACCACGTGGGGTAAGTCTATTGCGTACCCCCCCCCCTCAAGCGGGTCAAGGTTAATCATCAGATGTGCGAAGATGAGAGCCCACCTCATGACTATTTACCTGTGCACTCTGAACACTACGCCAACGTATACATCTACATTTCATAAGAATAGAATATCGTTATGGAATTCGAAAGACCTTTTCACCATTTATATTATTTTTAGAGTCGACCATACATTGTACAAATAAGCACAGTTCCGTTGACAGTAATCTACTTAAATACTGAAATATTACCAGTAGGACTCGAGCCTAGATCATCTGGTGGACTAAACACGCATTGGACAGTTTCAATATTAACATAGACGCATCGTTGATCGATTTTAGCTTCACTATATGTTTAATAAAACTTCTAGGGACACGTGTTGGTCATTAACATCAGTGCCAACTAACCCAACCAGGCAGGAAACATGAGAAGAATACCAGGCGAAAATAATCCAACTAAAGGAATTCGTCTAATTCCATACATATAATAACTGCACACTCATGGTGGGTAGAGCAAGAAACAACCACATGACGGTACTGCCAATTCGACTCAAGAGGACAGTGAACATGCTGAGCTCATCCCAACCTCGAACCATGTTAGTGTTCTGTCAGAAATAAAAGAAGAAAATAAACTTCCCTCACCACTAACATCATCAATTAGTGAGCTACTGTTGTCCTCTAATACGGGCATATTCTTTTCATATTTATTTAATTATCCTGGCCAATGACTAGAACAATCATTTTATTATCCAGTATTCTAGCCTCTGGAAGCTCTACCGCTCTCCCCCCCCCCCCCCCAACTCCCCCACCTTCCTAAAACTCAAACAACTCCTAACTTTGTTCTATCAATAAGCAGTCCCAACTCTTAATAATTTGGCAAGAGAGTTACTACTCAGCATTGCTAATTTAAGCGAGTGTGACGCATCACTCCTCTTCTATTGGCTGAATGTTGCCCAATAGGAATGGAGGGGAGGGGGGGGGGGGTACAAGTCGTTGTATATAGCCCGAGGTAAGCTAATATTGCCATGCAATGTAATTAGTTTTACACAAAACAAGGTAATTTACTTAGGTGAATGTCAGGCGTTCAGTTGCCTGGTGCTTTAAAGAAGACGTTTTTGAATAACTTTCTAGTACAGTTGATTTAGCAGTAACTACTATTGACACCAACCCGACTATTTTTGACGCAAATGTAGTTAGAGAACCTCCCATGTGAAGCTCCGCAATTATACACCACACACACATTGAATTGTATTACAATCGTCACACATAAATAGGTAAGGTGGAGTGGGAGGAGAATGCAAAAGTGATCTTACTCACTCTCTAAAATTTGATCCAAGTGAAATATTGTACAGAAATGCACTTTGGTGTGATTGATGGCGTTTCATGGGTACAATTACGCATACCAATAATTCGAGGTTGGCTAGATAGGGCCATCGTTATGCTTATAACATCAGGTGAAATGCAAGTAACAAGTACTCCTAAATCAATTGGACAAACAACTTGAATTATCGATTTTCAGATGGGTAGAATCTATCGTAAGGTAAAAATAATGGCAATGAAATCGATGACTGAACTGAATGGGGATAAGTGAAGTGATTTGATTGATAAAAAATCGGAGCAAATGGCTCGTACATTTAGAAACTGGCATCATGGAGTACACCTGTACTTACCATTTCGCTCAAATTACCCATTATTGATCTTTTTAAGCTAACTGAAATTGCCAGACAAAATGAAAAATCCACAGACTCGCATATTCCATGAATTACAAGGTACTTCATCATTTGGTTTCGAATAAATACCACTCTCCTCCTTTCTCCTGCCTTGAAGATATACTACTTATCAACAAACGGCAGTGCTAAAGAGCAAATTAAAAATCCAATTGAAATTTTTTTTGGGTTAATTGGAAGGCAAGGGAATAGACGTCATTCTCTCCATTAACAAGAATAATTGGCTATGGATAGCTCAATTCCTGGGTTAAAATGCACACATTTTTTATGAGACCCCATTTTATCGCGTGCTAATAATTGTAATGCTTCACAAGATTGCCCTTTTACATTTGCCAAGTGGAGCATCATAAAATGAACGCGTAAGGGGAAATATTAAACTCAACTCAACTGTTGATCGGAACTAGTCCCACAGCGTACAACTCTGAAGGTACCCCCCCCCCCCAATTCTAAGCTTTAGATTTTTTCAAGAAAGAATTAATTACAAGCATATATCCGCGTCTTCTCCCCTTATTTACGCATTAACCAGTTATAAGCAGCCCCCCTGTGCCATTAGCCATTCTCACCATCTCCCAAGTTCACTTATGAAAGCCTATTTAGCTGGTTTTTTTTGTGGATGGAGACGTAGAATCGTAGAGCCCCCCCCCCTCTCACGAGAAAATCCAATCCAACTCACTAGGGCTAGCCGTTCCATCTACTGGGTGTACAACGGTGGACGCCAAACACGCGATCTCTGGGCTTTGGGAAGACGATTACTCTAACCACTGCGCTGAAGGTCCGAGTATTGAATAAATGGGCTTTCAGTAGAATGGTCAGTAGAAATGGTCCATTTACTTCATAAACATCCGTTTATTATCAACACGCGGATAAATTTAGAAGAAATAATTAGTAAAGGCTCATCGAAAGGCAGAGTAACAGGAGGAAGAAGAGAGAGTGACTTATTCACAACAGAAATAGGTAGAGGGCAGGGAGTGAAATTCACAGCATTTCGTTTGCACAACGTAATCACAGAGAAGTCAACTGACGGCTAAATCACAATAAACACGAAGGAGGGGGGGGGGGGCGATAAAAAAGCATAAACACCAACCGACTCTTCAGCTAGGAGACAAAGAGTGAGATAAAATTCGAGTCCCAATTGGATTGAGCTACAGTAGTATTCGGAGTCCCCGGCGATCCCTCTTTATCTTTCTCTCCCTTAGGGGGTTCCGGAGGATCTCTATCCGTCTGCCCATCTGCTGCCAGCCATTCAGACGAATCCTCCAATGAATTATCTTCCACAACTGTTCGTCGCCTTGGCTGTTCATTCATGCCTACTGCGTCCGAAACTTTCTTCTCCTGTCTGGACGGTCCCACTCGAAGGAACGCCAGTCCTGGAGCACTGAGGCTTCCTCTTCGTTGATTTGACGTTTTCCGGCGATTCAACTCACTGGAGAGGTCGTTGAACACTTCAGCCATCTTGAAGCGCTGAGTTTGAGTCTGAAAACAAAGTTTGATTACTTGTCATTCACAGGCTTTGTTCTAGTCAAGTTGAAACAGGCCAAGATGAGAATTTGGGTGGGTAGAGTGAGGATAGGTGAGGGTGGGGGAGGAGAATCACGCGTAGACAAAGAAATGACTCATCACAGCGAGTTCGACCCAAGCTATGCACGCGTGAAAACTTGTGCGCACAAAAGGATACGAGCGCACATGCTGTTGTATTCAACCTCAGTTATACTTGCAAGTACGCAAGAGTCCCCCACAAGGTATGACTATCCCACCACTTTTGGCAATGCTTCAGTAGGTTGACGTCGTGCAAAGCTAGAATATCCAGGTCATGAAATATTATTTAGCAGAATTTAATTGATAAAGCATACGTAAGCGCAGATAGAAAATACGCAGGAAAGAAAGGGTTTTTGCTGAGAAATTGCGGAGGATTAATAATAGCTGAATACACTCATTAAACGGGGTAAAAATTTGTGTGACTAGTTTGTCTTGTGGCATACAACTTGCCACCATGGAGTTCAAACACCGTCCGCGCATTAAGTAGGAAAGTGAACAGAAACGAGAGGGGTGAACTAAAGGTTACAGGCCAGATTTGCCACAATTCTTCTCTGGTGAGCATTATATAACCCCAGGGGATGACCAAAGAACAATAAAGACACCCGGAGTAATGTCATCGGGTCACGGAGAAAAAAAGGCATAGAAGTGGAGTGAGCGAGATCTCGTAACCAAGGCACAGTGACCACACACACACACACACACACACACTTCACACTTCTGCTTCTCTGGCACATATGACCGAAAACAACCCTCGCAAGCACGTACACACATATTCACACTCACACGAACATGAAAACACGAGAGAGTGCGCGCTGCTTATACGCACACCCACACACACACGCACGCACGCACACACAATATTCATTGCATCGATTGCGATGATGATGACAATCGCATAAACATACAATGCAACCACAGAAAGATGGCGAGTAAAGAACGAAGTTATAGCACTTGGCATTATTCACAACAGGAAGCGCCGATTAAATCTAAAGAGGTCACTCAATGCTAGGTAGATGAACATCTCGTAACAAGTGGTGTTTTCCATCACCAATTTCGGGTAAAGCAATACCAATCTGATGATAAACTCGATCTTATGGGCTAGACATCATTACTGCGGATGGGTATTCCGCACTTGGGAGCAACAGATCATTGGGCACATTTAGTTTAATGCCAACGAAAAGGAGACTGTCGAAGTTTAGAGCAACCGCAAGTGTTGCGCAACTGAAACGACCAACTAAGACTCAAAATCCGTGCAAGAATACAATTTGACCCCCTGCACAGAACAGCCAATGAATGAACGCTTTTTGAACTTGTCAATTACACTATGGGCTAACTGAGAAAAGAAAGTAAGAATTTACTCAACGCTATTGCACCTGATTAAGATCCATTGGGTTAAAATGGGAGAGAGCCCGAAAAATTCCTGATGAATACGAGCAAGAGAATCTTTGTAACAAAATAGCACATATAATCATTTAGTCCACACAAATTTTAAATTATGACGACGACCAATGGCGTCACAAATTCAATTATTCACTGAGAAGAGCAAAAACACTGCTATACATTTGTATATAAACCACGTAATAATTCACGATTTGCTTCACTCACAGAATGAACGTCGTTATAATTGGAAACTTAGCGATACAATAAGTTGGGCATCCACACCATATCGGCAATATAGAATAAGCTGAAGAGAAACTAGAAGCCGTGTTGAGAACACCACCGATGTCTAAAGTGCATATAACTGTTGTTTCATGTTGGTGGTGTGCGATAGACTTACCTCCACGTGGTGAACCCTGGGCAACGTATACTCATAAGGGCAAAAAGTCTATAAACCGACAGTTGACTTCTGACTTCAAACTACCATCACCCCACTGTATGTCATATTCGACTACTTCCACAGAACTCACTTCACCTTTTTTCTACCTTTGTGTCTGTCTCTTTTATATCTGAGAATCACTCTTCTGTTCCCCCTCTCGACTTTTTCTCAATTTGATGTTCCTCCCCTCTGTGGAGCCTGAAGCCAACTAAAGGACTAATGATAACCATCAAAACGCCTGCCATTTGATATAAATAA